ACTAATATAATTATTTTTCTAGAGGGTATAAATAATGAATAATCATGTTTTATCATTGCTAAGTTATATTTATTAGAAAATATTAGTAGGTACACATTTAATTCCGTCTTACGAAAACAGAATCGAAATCCATGACCATGGACCAAGCCGTGCTTAAACCGTACTAAGAAAACATTCACATCCAATATTTTCTACTATATTAGGTTCGAAGGTAAGACGGATCACCTTTACACCAGTTTGTCATAAGTCCCATAATAGGGTATTGCTAATATTATTGTACTTCTTCATTTTTGTTTCTTTATTACTGCAAGGTCGTGCCTGCATGAGTTCCTGTCTTCAATAAAAAATTGTACTGTTCAATTTATTCAAGTTATAGTTATCTGGAAGACCTCTAGATACAGCTGAACAAACTCAGTCTCCTAGATTATAAGAGGTGCCATGAACCCCACTGTTGGGCAGCAGGCCATTGTTATTAAGTCTGGCCCACAAAGACTAATCATAGTTTTAGAACACACATTCTTCCAAGCATTTGGAGCATAATTCTTTAATGAACTATGTTTAAAGAAACTGACATCAATCCCCTCTTTTTGATATTTAATTAATATACTAAAACCTTATCCTAATTGTACCACACACTTTACTGAAAACCGCATTAAAATTTGTTTGGCCAATCGCGAGATAATTGCGCACAAACATACACAGACAAACTCAGAACCTTATTTTTTGATTCAGTTTAAAAATACTAGTAAATCACAATTTAATGCAATACCATTATTCAGTTGAAGAATCCATTGTATTCTAATTCATCAATGAATCACAGTTTCCGCGTTATCATCGTGAGATAATGGCGAGTAAATAGTGATTCAACAGCGTAAACAATGTAGTCACTGAAGTTTAAACTTGTTACAGTAATCTGTGCTGGAGTATCTTCAGATATGGACAAATGCATTATCCTATCAATTGCACTTGAAAGTTACAAGTAAATAATACTTCATGTATCTAGTATACATTTTTTATCGCGTAAATGAATGAAAGTTTGTCTATTTTTAGAGAAATCCTTTGTCAGTTTTTATTTTACTACGCCCACAAAAGGTAATATTTTTTTAATAAGTGTTCTTCGTGTATGTGATGTCAACTTTCAGGCTCAAAAGGTCACTGTCTATTTTTTATCCCCGTGCGGATAGTCTCCAAAAAAAGCTTGCCATTCAAATAGGTAAGCGGTCGTCTAACATTTTTAACTTGAATAACCAGTAAGTTCCCTGCCAAGTGGGTAAACCTTGAATAAGTGACATAATGTAGTCCATAAGTTTAGTCATCTGTGTTAAGTGTCAGATTAAATGCGCAGACCTAATCAAAATCTGTCATTCAAGACTTTGTCGCCTTTATGACACAAGTGGTAATTTTCTTCTTGCGCCATTAGTTGCTTAGGTGTTATATTAGCAAATCAGCGACGCGACGGTAGTAACATCTACGGTGTATAGGTACCTACCTAATAAGCTATGAATTATTGCTGAGAATTTTATTACAGGTAAATATAAGAACATATACTATAGATACCTATTTGACGGATGGAAAGTCTTTTGTCGATGAGTCGACGATACGACGACATCGATTATAATGTAAAATTAGAATAACTGGACGGTTGCCCGTTCTGAGAGCAGCAAATAGTACTGGGGCATGCGACCAATCGTAACAGCCGCAAATACATGCACCGCGCTGAATGCGGACACACCGCGGAAGACAACAACCCCCCACAGGCGAGGCGACGCGCTCCTACCCGCCGCTGCACCTCGTGTTATGTAGTCGCAGGCTCGCCCGCCGCCGCCTCCTGCGATGCCGTCAGCGCTACACTACACCAGCCTTGCGTAATCACCAGCCTCACGCAAGCCCACTTTATCGTTTTACAAACCCTGATCTTAAAGCTTACATTGTTTTCGCACCTAATCGTACCGATCTGTCATACTAACGAGCCGTCATATTATCTTCGCACTGCAAACAAATAAAAGCTCACTCATCATGCTGTTCACGAGCCACTGATAGCTTTACTAACATTATCGATGTACGAAACAACATTAATATTTACCAGTTCCACTGAATAAGCGCCAGATTTTGTGTACACCGTGATGTATACACAAAGACGAGTTTCAAACGAACAAAAATGGCATAATGTAGGCAGTAATGCCTCATCAGTTACGCATACATAACTTGAATGAAGTTGTTCCATGGTTGCAGATTTTCTAATGGCTTTCTGCATAAACATATTGCCTTGATGTTGGGTCGCAAAGGAAATCTAACAAAAAAAATTATATTTGTTCTATGAAAACGTTTGAAAAGCTTGCTTTTTAACTTTAGCGTCGCTTTATAGTCCCTGACTCCTGAATATTTAGTACAATTTTCTATAACCAAGCTACAATACACATGCCAATAAAAGCTTACAAAGACTGAGGTACAAATCGATATCGTGTCTTAAACAATGCAACGCACTTCCGTGTGCTGTGATCCAACTAATCAAAAGAAAATTTAAGGACTAGCATTGCAGTTGGTATGTAGAGCACCGGTTGCAAATTTAATCTCGGCGACACACCAGTGCAAGTCTGAAACAAGTGTTCGAACTGCGCTATAAGTGTCCTCCGTGTGACGACGGCTACAATCAATGCGGAAACGTTCGCCAGTCTGCCTCGAATGGGAGCACGGGATGCGACGCGATGGACGTCGCCGGCGCAACCCCGCGCTACCCGCGCCGCACTGCACCCCCCGCCGGCCCGGATCAGCGTCACCGACACATTTGTCTCCACACACCACAATAAACACTATACTTACTTATTGTAAGTGCTCCTTTCTAGAACACTTGTACCTACCTACCTACCTACTGAGAAAGTAATTAAACTCAGTAATCAATTTTAATGAATGATGAACGAAACGAAAATTACCTGAAAGTACTTTGCTCGTAAGTGTAAATATGGACGTCATACATATTACGATGTTCAGCGTGAATTTGTGACGAGTAATTTTACATTTTGGTTTCGAGTTTCCAGAAATTTTGGCTACAAATATGGGACGTATGTAAGTGTAAACGTCAGAACTTTTACTAGTCCCCGTGAATTGTAAACATAGTGACGTATCACTCATACAAAAGAGTGACGACAGATGGAAGTTATCGAGCGTCGATGGTATGACGACATAAACATCGTGGGAGGAAAATGCTGATACAAAACACGAGGCAGAGGCTTACCATAGGAGAGACAGCTGAGCCACAGGCTTATCAATGGTATTAATGCTTATAACGTTCTCATGTTTTGCTAGTAACCCGCCCCGGCTTCATACGTTTTTTTTCGGTTACATTTTTTTTTTCTTTCATATTAACCTTAACTAGACTACAAGGAATACCATACAATAAATGCAACTTAATGCAATCATTGCTAATCATGATTGATTTTAATGTGTAAGGTCACCAAACTAACGAAGAAAATTTTCTCTCAAACTAAACTCATAAAAATTAACACGTTTCTATATCTACCTGCACCACTCCACACAATCCACACATAGAGATGTCAAATATTCTAATGAATATATAATATAAAGCTAGTAGTAAAATTACGTAACTTATTTATTTTAATTATTCCAACCTAGAGACGGTCAAGAATGAGCTTTTATGTTCAAAATCAATAATATATGAACGGGGGGAAGTAAAAAAACAACCAAAATAAAAACGTGTCAATAGCTTGTTATGATTGAAATAAAATGATCAACATCACTATATTATTATAAAAGCCTCATGTATGGGTAGATAAAAGGGAAAATAATTATAATATACAGTGGAAAGCCTTGGTAGAGTACATCTGTACCGTGTAATATACCGCAATGAAATCCATTGCCGAAATGATTCCGCTGACTCCCGAGCTATCATGATCATTATTGTAGAATTAACTTTAACACGCCTTTTTTGTTGCACTTCTCACAAAATGAGGTTACACCACTCGACGGCTGTAATAAAACTTAATCGTAAAACAAGTTAAAACGGTGATTCCGAAACCGCAAAAGTAAATGCATATAATATACCAATGTATTGTATGTAAGTGTGTAGTGCATCAGTTCTCACAATGTAATGTGACATTAATAGAAAAATCGTCACAATTTTCATCTGTGGTATCTTTGGTTAGCTAAGTTTTATTTTTTTCAATTGTTTCTTACGCCTTCGTTTCGGAAGTTTATATGCTTTTTTGGAGAATACATTAAAATATTAATTCGAAGGGAAAAGGCTCTACTTCAGTGATGGTAGGAATATAATAAAATAAATAATTAATTCTGAAGTTTTAAAAAGGTAAAGATACCGTTTAGTAGCGAATATATAAATATTTTTAAGCAATGTCTACGAGAACTTACGTTACGCATTCATAAAATCATAAGCGTAACAAGGACTAATTAGACCTTCCATGTTTCTGAGTGAGCTAAAGCCAGGTTTCAGTAAGAAAAATGAGACGCGTAACCAGCGAAATCTATATTTAACTTTACTGAAATGTCTGATAGCGTCATAAAAATAACAATCGGTATTGTTTGTGTTCTCGATTTGTACAACGTATTTGTTGAATGACGTGCGTTTGTAATAGTAAACGCTAATACAAGTGAAGGCGCGAGTTCAGCCGTGGAAAGCTCAGACACAGTGAGGCAGGAATGAAGTAGCGGCCGGGCGCGGGCGGCGCGGCCGTATGAAAGCTCCGTCCCGTACTAGCGATGCCGTTAGCGCAGGCTCGGGCGGGCGGCCGCGGCGAGGCGGCGGCGGGCGGGCCGTGGGAGGTACCGTTAATGACGTCGCATCCGTGACGTCGCCGTCGTGACGTCAGACGGCGCGATATAGCCACCAGCCTCGGCGGCGGCGGCCTCAGTAACGCACCGCCCGTTCGCCAGCGCGTACCTCCGCGCGCCCTCTCGCGACCTGCCGACCGCAACCGACTGACTGAGTGAGTGAGTGCGCGTGCAGTGAGTGGAATGTGCTTGGCCGCATGAGGATCCTGCTGAGCGAGCTGGGACTGTCCGGCGCGTGCCTCGGTCTGACGCTGGAGCCGCGCGCCTCTTCGCTGGACCCTGCGAAGCCTGCGCCAGGTCAGCGCCCGCACGACGATCCGCCATCCACTTCTGTGTTTATTTTCGCTTTCGTTGTGTAGAACCTCTGGGTGTTATATAGACTGTGTGGGACTGTCGTGATGATGGCCATCGGCTAGAATGCGAGGTGCGTTGCTGACGCCCTCCAGCCAACACTGCGGCCTTAGACAATTCCAACTCACACGTACGTACCCCCCTTTTTGTTTTATTTTATTTTATGATTTAATTTATTACTTGATTATTTTATTTTATCCCAAATGTTTATCCAGTGCTTCGTTTCCCTTAACCAAAACTCGCCGGTAAGGCAACTGTCAAAAGTTTTGTTGTGTCAGAGCTTTTGATTATTTCGTGTAACTGAAACTTATTAAGTGGCACGTTTTATGAAGGCTTCGATAAGAAAAAATATTTAGTGGTTTATTATAAAACCTAGGTCGTGGCCGTGACTAACCAAATACAAAGTAAGGTAGATACATTCAGGAAAGTTTAACGTAAAAGCTATTTCAGTTAATTAAGTAGAAAAATATTATTTTAAAGAAATTTGTTCATTTATTCGCAAATTTTTGTTCATTTTTATATTAAATGAATTATATTTTCTTGAATAAATCATGAATAAGATAAATGAAAACTGAAAGTATCTGGATAATGTCGAACTGGTTAAAATTAGCAATACAGGTAGTATTGCAATCCTTTAATTAATTAGTTATTGTATATTTTATGATATGGTACATATCTGTTGTCATATGCAGTGTCATAAAATATGATATTACAGAATAAGGAAGTAATCAAGACATAATATAACGAAAACGTATTTCATTTTCGACGGTAATAAAATATTGACAAATAATATAGACTACCGGTTATATTAAATCGGTAACTGTATAATTAGGTATTTTTTTAAATTCTACTAGTTGATATAAGTTGTAGTTTGATTTTAAAAGTGACAGTGAATAATTAGAATATAGGTGAAACAAGTATGTACCTAATGGTGAAATATATTTCCACACCGGTAGGGCCGGTTTAGGATGACACATGTCGGCTCCGTAGCATACATTAACTCAAACACATCACGGAATCTCTAGTAAGAAACAAAATCTTAATTGAAACTCGGTTACGGAACTTTACCGCGTCGCCTGCATCTCCGATAATTGCTAATAAGTGTATTCGTTAAATTACAATCGAATTTGTTTGAGTGGACGCGCGTTAGGTAACTTGGAGTATAATGTGAGATGTTTATGTCGCGATCGGCTCCGTGCGATGGCCTCAGCCGATGCCTGCCACTTGCCCAATCGGTTGTCGCAACCGGCAGACGTTGCACCTGTCGAGATGCGAGCCTGTGCAAATTGACCGACGCATAACAGATACCGTCTATTGTAATACACAAAACACACGTCAAATAAATATTATAAATCGGAGAATGTTACAAGTTTCGTATGCACATTAAAACAACGTTCCCAACGCTAAGGTGTCAATGTATTATCTAAATTGATGCTAAAATAGAATAACAAACTTTCACTTTTTGTTTTCATAAGTGTGCGCTTAATATTGGACAAAAGCGGTTCTATAAATAATACGATAACGTCTTTGGTCAATGTGAGACAAAATATTTTTGTACAAAATGCAAATTGATATTCAGAAAGGATTTCCATCGGACTAAGTAACAGTGAATTTATTTATTAATGATATGAATGACGTACGAGCGTGAGGTTTACACTATTCAGGGTATTGATAAGTCTGCTATCAGTCGCCAGCTGTCGTGACGTCACAACACAAGTCCGACCCGTAGCGCGTCACTCTCACTGCTACCCCCGAGCTCCGGATCCCCCTGCCGACTTGCGACTCCCACCGAACACAAATAAAAAGATATTGTTGTTGTTCCGTTTCATCCGTACGGAGGGGGACTACTTCCGCTTTGTTTTCTTCATTGACTTATTTTTTCACTTAATGTCTTAATTAAAGCTCTTTTGAGAAATGGATACGTCAGTACACATTAATATTTTATTGAATGTTTTTGTATGGCCAATGAAAAGATTTGCTGAAAAACTCGACGCGAATAATAGGTATAACAACTGCCTCATTCTTCGAAGGCGCTATTTTTCAGACGCTTAATGCTTTCTGTTTAATAGCGCGATTGCGTCACAAGTCTAAAAATATGAGGGTGGTGTTGGGGAAACAGCAGTATGGGGTAGTCGGCAGCACGTCAGGTGGCGGTCGGTGGGCCTCGGTCGCGGTCTCCGCATCGAGCGAACCCTGTGACGTCATGGACGCGTGACGTCACGCATCGACCGCGCGCCTCGTTTCAAGGACGCCCTTGCTTGCCGCCCAACCGGCTACCGACTTCCTCCTAACTTAGAATCACTTTACGCAAACAACAAATATTAAAACATAAGTAGTCGGTAAAACAAGAATTTGCATCGGATAATATTGACACGCACTGTCAATATACTTAACATGATTGGTAGTAATAGACGGAGATGTCTAGCTTGTGTGGTTATGTAACCGACCTACTCAGTTTTGACGACGGTTAACAAAATTATAAGATCCGTGCACTTAATGGTTTACGAAAGATACAATAAAGCTCTGATAAGTCGCATATTTTACGATGTTGCCAACGACAGGGGTGTGACCGTGTGACCAGTTCAGGGCCGCCGCATTATACAGACTGGTAGGTGTACGAAACAACATCCTTTTCTCTTTTGTTTGCAAATACTCTAGACGTTACTGTGTTTTTCTTATATTTGTAGTACGCTGTAGTCCTTCAATGTAGTGTTTTCACTTTTCATTCCGCTAATCGTTTTAATTCTCCGTAGTTAATAGATATATTTTACCTTTACGCTATAAATAGATGTTTTAAAACCAGTTCTATTAATTTTATAAACTGTGTTTGTGAATTTAGCGCAGTACAATTTTAAGATATAAAGTCTAACACATAGTTTCGTCACATCTTAAATTAAGTAGTATCATAAAATAAATTGATTTATATGTAAGTAATAAATATTTCGACAACTTAGAATCACTTAATTACTTGGTTCATAAGCAAGGCCAATAAATAACGTGGTTAGTACAACTTAATAATCTAAGTAGCTATTACCGTGCTTGCTTACATTATGTGCACGTGAGCTTTATGATATAAGACTAAATTACATATTGTTACAATTCTAAGTCTCTCTTTGATATTGCACTTATTTTTTTAAATTTTCTCCACATTTCGGTGGAGTCTGGAATTCTGCCCAGTGGCAGAATGTAGTATTACATGGGACCACATGGGACTTATAAAATAAGTGACGAAATGTAACTGGCCGTTACGTTTATATACTTACACATCGACGAATGTGTTTTTAACAACACCCCGTTAAGTAGGCTGCTCTTTTATATATTATCAACAAGAAAATTATGAAAAAGAAAGCTGGCGAAATATAAAATAACAAAACGAGAATGTTAATTGTTATAGTGCACCTCTGTTTAACCGATCAGGTAATGGATGGCGTGATATTAAGTAATCTTATGCTGCAATCGATTTAGGAACAATTTTTATCTTAATTTAATGATCGTTAATACTGATCGTCTATTAAAATATTCTACTTTATACTATGTCTTAAACTTACATATCTAAACAGCATCGAGATTATATTAAAGTATGAGACAAAACGAGGAAACTGAACTTGTCTAGACGATATTAAGATAAAACATATATTTTTTCCGTCTACCGCTGGTTTAATATTCATTATAATTTATTCAGAATTAATCATACACATTAAATTCTTTTTATAGAATACCTGTTAAGTGCTAAAACATGATTTTCTATTGTTTATTCTGTATTAAAACGTGAAATCTGTACTAATATTATGTATACGAAAGTAGGTCATATCAAAAAGGCTTAAACAAAAATGTTTACTCATAATAAGAAAAGTTGCGTTGTGATTTGAAACTACAACCTCTTTCAATTATGTTGCACGAGTGAGTCGATATTTTCAATTCTAGTTTTATTTGCCCACCTATGAGAAGCAGTGGACATTAAACTAATTTTCTAATAACAGAGCGATGCTTTTTAAAACACAAAATAAGTGATTAGATTTGCTTAAAATAAATCAATCTCGTTTCGGTTCTTTTTTTGTAACTTTAGCTCATAAAACTTTTCTATCGTATACTAGCGGACTCAGCGATCTTAAAACTCTCATTTTTCTCATCTCATAAACCTTCCCTGGACTTCCAAAAACATTTAAAGACCAAAATTATCCAAATCAGTTCAGCCGTCCTCGAGATTTAGCGAGACTAACGAACGGAAATTCATAATATTTCTATAGATTAAAACTACGAATGTCCCTAAGTAAGTGGTAGCATTTTTACTATAAAAACTACATGATCAACTCCACATTTATAGAGGAATTAGAAATTTTGTTAAAAATTTTGGTTTCTTGATAGTAAAATTTCTAGTAGTAATAGTTGCAATCTATCCCGATACGCAAATGACTCTTGATTTGTATTTGAAGAATATTTCCAAAATGTATCATAGTCCCTCAACTTTCTCTTGTCTTCTATTATAAATTGGCTAAAAGCTTTTATACTTAGTTATAATATAAAGTTCTCGTAAAATCGGTGACTATAGATAATATTCACGGGTCGACCACGATCTGATAAGAGCTTGTCACCGGCTACTTTGTTCGTTAGTCACACCTTTCTGGGCCAAATTCTCGACTATCCTTCTCAACTGGTTCCATATCTCAACAGTAATGATATAATAAAGATAATTATGTCCTTCTTTATCTCTTCTTAGGCAACAGCTACAACTAACTTTAAATACTTTTTTACATATTTGAAATTTGTATTACTATAGGTCCATACGGTAATATTTTTTCAAACTTAACCTAGTAGGTTAAATGGAAAATCATAATTAACAAATTGTTAATATGATATTATTTTATTAAGATGATGATATATTTTTTTATTTTTAGAAAAATATATTACTGTATCCACAGAATCACATTGAACTAAGTTAATGTTAA